CGATATTTTGATATATGTTCGGCAAATTTCTTTATATCTATCCATGATATAAGAAAGAGATGTTCATCTAATGACACCCTATCGTCCTTAAGTTGTGGTCAAGTGTAGATAAGTAACTAATAAATTAAATATATACTTTAAACCACTATCAACAAGAATAAGATGACTCGTTGAAGTGTGACAATGCTCTTTAGGCCTACTGAACTGCATACATGACTCCAATCAGGATGTCATCCTATCGCTTAACCTATGGAAGATTCTGCTACCTCCCCATAGAATTCAAACATCGTGCTTTTTCGACAATTAAGTTATTGAACTTTTATATCATCCTTACCCAACAAAACCAAACTAGTGAGGAATGAATCTAAGTGAGTTCCATTTCTAACATATGATAATATCAAGTTATACAAAGAAAAAGAAAAATATATCATGACAAGATCATTCATCACAAGAAATTTTCAACAAGTGACAAGCTTTTGGTTTACTATTCTATTCTTCATTTGTTTATAGGGGAATTGAAATTTCATTGGATTAGACCTCACATTATGTGGTAGGGTATGTCCAATAGAGTCATGCAAATCCATGAATTGTTTTATCAGTAGGGTAAAGAAAGTTTCCTTGCTAAGTGAGCAAGATCTAAGTTGTATCTTAATGATCACATCATGGCTACGTGTGAAAAATAAATCAGATATAGGATATGTCTTCTACTTCATCATTTTTTCAAAATTGCATTCAATTACACATCTTTTAATTGAAACTTTGGTATAATTTAATTGAATGATTCTAGTTGTGCCTATCCTGAATGTATTTGATTGATTTGTTTATTCTTTCTTTGGTCAACTTATCATTTTTGTTTTTTGTTTTTTTTTTTTTTATATTATTGCTTTCAAACTTTATTCAATCACTTTCTTCAATTTTATTTTTTTAGTTTAGCTATCCACTTTCTAGTGTAGTTTAGTCACTTGCCTAGTTTAGATTATTATTTTTATAAGTTATTATTTTCTTAGTTAGTTCATTATTTTGGCTAATTTAATTCCTCGTTAGATGGATTCATTATTTGTTATGTAGAAAATATCTATAAAGGTAAATTTTTTCTGCGCTCTAAAGAGGATCAAAATACATTGATTCTTTTAAAACTCTATTACAATCAAGCATACAACACTTTAATTTATTCTCTTTAATTTAAAATTTAAAAACACATTTGAATTTAGAAATTGAATAATCAACCGTTACTCAACATAAATGCTTATTCAAAATTAACGCACACGATTAATGCTTATTCAAAATTAGAATTAACACACCAACATATCACTCCAAGCAAAGTCAGTCCGACTTTTTTTTTTTATAATCCATGTCTTTCATTTTGAATACACTAGAGAAAAATCTAAACTGTTCTTTTCATTAGCTCATTCTAATTGCCCTAGGATCCCATAGATTTGCTTATCTTATTCTAGGTTTCACCCCACCCTATATGGGAATTTGTTTTACCTTTGCCCAATGAGTAGCTCGCTTAACCCAACCACTATATATCGTCATATTCTTTCATGTCCTTTTATTTACAAAAACTTTTCTATTATGTCTTCTGTCAGACTCCCTCTCACGCTTTCACCAAGCATTTACATGTTCAATGGTAACTTTCACTTTTAATAGGTCTATATTTGATTCTTTTGCCCATATCTGATCTAATTTCGTTTGAAATCGACCGTGAATTTTCTCCTTAAAAATTTGAGACATAAAGATATGTGCACATATTCTTGTCTACTTCATGCATATCTACATTTTCCTATTGAATATGCTTTTGGACTAGTTTTATATTCCCCTGCTCTAAAATTTGAAAAATACCTATTGAATATATGCTTCAGAATTTTCATCATTTTGTCATGATTTTGTTGTCAAAAAAATTTTATTTTTTGCTATATATGAGGAGAATGCCAATGGATAAACAATATCCAATGATTCTGATTATTGTACGCTTCATAATAAATCATTTAAATGTTATAAGCGAAAGAGAAAAATAATGCTCTTTTATAGAAAAAAAAATAACTTTACGACCTCATGTATAGTAATTACATACATTATACATATCATAGTAATAATAGCATATATTATATCTTTTATACATGTAATAAATTTTCAATCATGATTTTAAGATTATCTTTTATCATAAAATGGCACAGAGCCAATCGGCTTGAAACTCTTCATTTTTCTTTTGTAGTCGTCCATTGTTATCTTCTTTACCAATTTTTATGGCTGACAGTCTCATAATCTCTCTCCACCGTAATTCACATAGTGAATATCAAATTATAATCTACCAATTAGTTCTTGTGACACGCTCAAATCAAGCTCCTCCTCAAAAGTTAAATGTTCATGTCTTTATAGTCTTGCTTAGAATGGCAAGAATCGAGCGCAAGTATAGACATATCACTGAGATGGGTGGAGGTCCTCAAATACGGCCATTTATACTATTAATCGGTCGCCTTCTTTTTTCTTTTTTTATTTAAAGGAAGTCACAATTTGATATTGTATAAGAACACATATCCTGTTAGAATTTTTTTTATGTTTTTGGTTGTTGTATTTATCATTGTCCTTAGAAATATGCAAAGAAAAAATTCAAAACATGCAGTACTGTGCATATTTATTGTATATAATACGAGTCATAAATGGTTTCGATGCTTAGACATAGTGTCCATGAATGTAGTTGTCACTCATCGTGCTAAATTTGATGAATTATGTCTTTCATACTAAAACAATAACATAAACACACTTTTAATCAAGCCCATTGCAAATGAAATAATGAGACATACCTCGCTTAAGAGTTAGGTATAAAACACTTTTACATGCACTACAAAAAAATAATATATTTGTAACAGAATTTCGTCCCTAAAGTTCACGTACACTACAAGAAAAAATCATTTTTGTAACAAAACTTTTTTGTCTCTAAATCTACTTTGTCCGTTACTAATGACATTAGAGACAGAAATAGGAATGAAATTACGTTAGCTACGTGAACTTTAGGAACGGAATTTTGTTACAAATATATTATTTTTTTGTAGTGGTAGCTAACGTAATTTCATTCCTAATTTCGTCTCTAATATCATTAGTAACGGAAAAAAGTAAATTTAGAGACAAAAAAATTTTGTTGCAAAAATGATTTTTTCTAATGAAAGATGGAACATATTATTTATAATTTCACTTAGATGTATAAAATATTTTGTGTAAAATTTTTATTGGATAATTTATTATTATATTAGTATAAATATTACAAAATAATTATATTATACATAAAATCATGATAAAATAGAATATGTTCCCGTTTGCAGTAAAATGTTTAATAATATAATATATATAAATTATGTTGTGTTTCTTTTGAATGATTTGGAAAAAAATTACTATGTTGGCATTGTGCATAATGAATTGGGCATAAGATTAAACTTAAAGGAAAATGACTGTAGCCTAGTGTAATGGGTCGGAGTCCTCCTCGAACACCTTCCCATCAGCAATTCCTCAGCGCTTACGAAAAAGTTGCAAGTACAGTCTCACACACAACTTGACTCTAAGCTAGAAAGCAAGAAAACCATAAGATGCATCCGGCAAAGTAGAGCTTATATTAGCTCCCTAAAAAATGAAGTACAACTGAGGAGTCCTCCCCTGTATGTATAGACATTATAACGGACCAGACCTAATAAAGGCCAAAGCATATCTACACTCGGATAGACTCTATCTATACAAGATATATACAAGATACAGATAAGGTAAGCTATATAAAGAAATACGGATAAACTAAGATAAACGGATAGACACTAATTCGGTCAAAAGGGCGATCTCGATATTTCTAGAATATTCCGAAACATCTCGAATAGTCTCCGCTAGCCTCTCTGTGTTTCCGTGCCGCAGGCCCCTCCGCGGCGCTCCTCGGCCAATGTTTCAGTTCGGACACTAGGACGTAAGGAACTGACAGGTTGATTATTACTATTTTTTATTTTTTTTCAAATTTTAAATTTTACGGATAGTTGTGCACACCCTTATAACATTACAGTAAAATAATTATTTGATTATATTATTAATAATAATTTAATAATATATATAATATATAGTATTTTGTAGAGAATAAATCTTATAATATGTCTGCACTGGCTCTAAGGGTCACATTTATTTTATGTGTGTTGCTATTTAAATATTAATATTATACCAAAATATAGTACAAATCAAGATCAAATGAAAAAAGTATTTCTATTAGTATTTCTCTTGTAATACTAATAGAAGGACATTTGTACCAAAAAAAATTATATAAATTTAAGGATATTTTTAATGTTAAATACAATAATGCAAAAGATAAATATAGCCTTTAGAGACGGATAGAAAAAGTTTAATATAAATTGATATATAAAATATAAATATTTATTTATCATTAATACATTTAATATTCAAGTTACACCATTACTAATATTACAAATTTAATTTAATATATATTTATATCATTATATTTTTTACTTCTCAAATCAATATGTATAAAAACCTACATACTCACACCAAATTTATAAACTTAAAGAAAACACAAAATTTCAAATTCATTTTAAAATTCAAATCCAAGTTTATTCGTTTGTAGGATTTTGCCAAAATTTTACTATTCATCAAAATTTTTTCCTCCCAAAAAATCAAATCAAATACCTATTTTTTATTTTTTATATTATACTGAATTAATTTTACATTCAAAATATTATATCAATATCTATTTATATCACATTATTCAACTATTACAATTCAAAATTTTTTATATTTAAATCTCAATTCAAAATCCAAACTTCCAAACAATCACATCCTACCCTTAGTTCCATGGTCACACCAAAACAGTCCATATTTTGAAAGCGGATACAGCCCAACTTAATTTCAAAGGCCCACACAACTATAGCTTACTCAGTCCTTTTGGGAGCCCAAAATTGCAACAAGAATTTGGCGGGCGAAATTCCTGCTTTATGCAATTCCGTGGCTACAAAGAAAGAAACCCTGCAAGACGACGACGTTTTACCAAAACCCTGAACCTCCTCTGAGTGGAAGTCTTGATTATGTGTAAATGAAGAAGCGAAGCTCTTTCTCTACTCCACTCCTCGATAATTCAACGCCCGAATAAATAGCCTCCTGTTTTCTTTTGTAATTTGCTCATTTGATGCCACTTGCTGAGAAGTTACTGATACGAAGATTAATTCGGGAAGGGGATTTCAAGAAATCTAAAAGGCGAGATAGGGGGGAAATGCCACTGACGTCAAGATTCGTTTTCTTATCAAAAAGCCGTTCTGAAGCATCTATTCGGAATATTAGGGGGTAGTTTTCTCGCAAAAAAATTCTCCCCTGCTAATAATGGTTGTCTAATACGCAATCGCTTTTTCTGTGGTTTGTGGAATTCGATTAGCGTTCAATGCGCGGTCAAATTCTGCATCTGCAACATAAGTGAAAAGAGTTCGCATATGTTTGTGTGTTTATGCTTACCTACACATTACCGATGGGCTTTGTATTTGTTAAAGAAGTTGCATACAGCGTGATCTTCGGATTGATTTGGAGACCATTTTACATTGGGAAAAATTTAACGGTTTCTTACTCAAATTGACGCTCTTTCTTAAAAGACACATTTCAGTTCGAGCCAAAATTTGTTGGATGGGAATGATTATTTGTGGGGGAAAAGTTAGAGATGGGTTATAATGTATAGTGGAATTTTCTTGCTAATTATGATAGATTTGAGTCTGATTATTTTGGATGGCAAATTTGATACATAATATTCTTCATTGCATGTGTGCGAGGGTTTTGACGAGGAATTCGAACTTGATAATCTGTTGGCCATGGTTTAGGGTAGGGTAATTTGTTAAAACCCTCCTATATTATAATGTCAAAGTTACTTGATCTACTATGTGTGGGATTTAACAAGCTAATTTGCTTTCATGTTAAGTCCTTGTAAATTTTGTTCAATGGGTATCAGATTGTTATAAGAATGACTTTGTGGTGCTTTTCATACATTGATTTTTAAAGTTCAGCTGAAGTTGTGCATTATTAACAAGTTATACAGTCCTTTTACTTGTTCTCTTTTAATTAAGTGGAAGCATTGAAGGAATTTTGTTTGTGATAAATGCTTTTATGATGTGCACTCAAAGTGCCTGATTTATACATGCATGTGTGTATTTATATTCATTGATGTTCACTATTCAGCTAAGAATTAAGTTTCGAGGTGTCTGAAATACTTGTGCAGATTTTTGCCATACAGATGGCTATCATCATCAGTCCTAACCAGATCTACCCAAAACAATGTTTCTCATCCGTTAGCTGTGCAGGAAAAGATGGGTAACTGTAAATTTCACCGTTTTGAGAAGTATGTATCATTCTTCCTAATGTCATGTTTGAAACCATTATTTGATCTATATGCCTTGAGATTAAAAAACCTGCAGTCAATTTTAAATTGCTGTTCAGTTGTTTGCTGCTTGATTAACATGAGATGAGAAATGAACAATACGAAACTTTTGTTGTGAAAAGAGAGTTTTCTAAATTGTCTCTACTAAAGTTTGCTTTTGTGAAAATAATGAAGGGTGTGCTTGTTGGGGGTTTGGATTTTGATTTCTATAGTTGTTTGTGTGATATAAATAGGAATGAATGTGATGTTCTGAATGTAAAAGTAATTTTTAATGTAATATAAAAGAAGGTATTTGATTTGATTTTTCTTTTTAATTTTTTCTTTTTTGGGAGGGGGGTGGGGGTGGTGGAGAGGGAATTTTTGAATAGGAGAACTTAAATCAAACATCTAAACAAACACACCCTTCTAGAATTTCGAGTATATATTCTTATTCAAATATTTAATTTACTAGTAAATTGGAATGCTGTATGTATCGTAGGAAAAGTTCATTGTATTATACACCATAATGATTTGAAAAAAGTAAAAATAGAAATGAACAGCTATAATAATACATTAGTTAGGATGGAAAAATGTCATGAATTGTAAAGAAGTCTTCTATTATAAAGTCTTTGATTGTATATAGGAAATAAATAAATAAACTTGTAAGGAAGTTTTTACTCAGTAAATATATATGCAATTTATTTAGGTAAGCGTTTCTATAGATTTAGTTAAGAACTTTTCCCCTAGATATTAGTTATTTTTACCATTTACCTTTTATTATATAAAATCATCATTCCATTTAATTGTGCACTCACATTGTTGTAAGAAATGAATATGCATAGGCCCAACCCATAGCAACTTAAAGCACCAGATTCTATCATCCTTGGGCGAGAGTAGTACTAGAATGGGTGACCTCCGTGGAAGTTTTCGTGTTGAACCCAATTAAAAAGAAATTAATATGCATACTTTGATTTGTAAAATTATGCTATGTTTTTTTATTTTGTTTTTCCATAATTGTCTACAGCTATAAGGGAAAAAAACAAAGGATGGTCGATTTTCTCCAAATTCCCTTTTATAGATGTTGTAGTGTACAAATTTGAAGTATCTGGATTCTGGATTACTTAAATTGGTTCCAGATTAAGTTGATTTTAGTTTCCAACATTTTTATAAAATAAATGGAAAAAATTAGGCTGTAGTGTAAGTTCTTTATTTGGTTTTTTCGGTTATGACCAACCCAGATTTCTTCTTCTTTCTTGCACCATATTAACAATACTAAGTTTGATTCATATAACAGATACTACACTTCAGACACAAGGTCCTCAAGCAACAGAAAGCCTCCTTTCCCATTACCTGACCAAGATGTTCCTCTTAACACTTGGAAAGCGTTTTTAATTGTATGGTATTTTGACTTCCTTGGAATCTTATGTTATGTTTATCCTACATTTTTGTTTTTCTTTTCTTCTCTTTACCTTTCGTTTCATTCACTTTATCTCAGATTTATTATTGCAGCCTGGCACTGTTCTAGCTGGCATTGGTGGATTGGTTTTGTACATGCACCATAATGATGAAAGAAGAGCAATACCAAAAGGTAATACTGCATATTAGTGGTAACTGTTGTTTTATCTCATGATGTGTTTATGCTTGATTCATCATGTCACAATTAGTATTATTGTAAGATTTGAGAATTCAATCTTTGGTTTTTCATTATTATTGCACATGTGTACATACTATGTTATTAATCTGCCTGTCTTTGCTAATTTCTTTGAAATTCTGGGAATTCATTATCTATGTCTCATCTCTGTCTTATCTCATAATCAACATTGTAGAATTTTGGAGGATATTTCTTTTGTAACGGATTTTTCATATTGTTATCACTCATGTCACATCTCTATGAGTTTTCACTTTCCATGCATTACATCAAAATCAAAATAGGTAAGGGAGAAAAACTCAGGAGTACAACTGACGGCCCAATCATTGGCGGCCCCTTCAGTTTGATTGATACCCAAGGTCGACTTGTAACTGAAAAGAGTCTTCTGGGAAATTGGGTTCTTTTGTACTTTGGCTACACTTTCTCCCCCGATATTGGTCCAGAAGCTGTTCGAAAGTTGGCAAATACCCACTCCATATTAGGTTTCCATTCTTCTACTCTACCCCAATTTTCACATGTCTTCCAAACTTTAGTTCTGTACTGAATGTTTGTTATCTTATTGGATAAAGAAGCAAAACAGCAAATCCGCATCTTACCCATATTTGTGACAATTGATCCTCAGCGGGACACCCCCAAACATCTTCATGCTTATCTCGAAGGTATTCTCATACAATGCTTAAAACCTCACCAATTTTTGTCTATGGTTGTCACACAAAATTATCTTAGAAATTTATAGTTGAGAGGTAGGACGACTATCTCATTGCTTTGTGCCAGTTTGGAGTTTATTATGTTGTAATTTATTTCTTCTGTCCAAGTAAATTTGTTCAACTGCCGTTTGCTCATCTTGTGCAGAGTTTGACTCGAGCATAGTGGGATTAACTGGACCCATTGCAGCCATAAGGCCGATGGCACAAGAGTATAGAGTATTCTTCAAAAAAATTGATGATGAAGGACATGACTATCTCGTTGAGTCTTCTCACAACATGTAACCGACAAATTTTCACCATCATATTCATCATTTTCAGGCTCTACTTTCCCTGTTAAATGCTTTTTGTGCGCATGTTTGGAACTATGCTAATTGTCTTCACTGTGTCGTTAATCAGGTATTTGGTGAACCCAAATATGGAAGTTGTAAGATCCTTTGGGGTCAATTACAGTGCAGAGGAGCTGGCAGAGGAGATAACCAAGGAGATTAAGAAAACTAAAGCATCCAAATAAAAAGTTGGTATGTCTCGTAGCTACATGTTTTGCGTCTGACAATTATTTCGTTTCTTTCTTCAAACTAGTTACACCTCAGGAATAGTGATTTACCTTGTCATTCATTTACTACAATTGCCAAAGCTTGTAGTTTTATATTTTGCAATCAATTTGAAGCAAGCATGAAATGCTACTCAAAATCAAGCTACTCAACCTGAACAGCCCACAAATACGAAATGATGCTGGACTTAATTTTATCTTTACATTGATCTGACTTGAATATATATGCTGCAATTAAATGTGATTTTCTCAATGCTCCATGTTGATAGATGAAAGGTGAATTCCTCTTATTATTATTATTATTATGCAGGTGATTGAGTTGTGTATTGTAATTAATAGAACTTATAATCAGCTTGATGTGGTTTGAAGATTCATACTAGTATGTGTTTTTGTTTTTCAAAACATGAACTAAAATGGTTTCATTGATATTCTGTCACCATGTATTAACTGAGTGTTGTCAATTTGCATACCATATTCATTTAAAAGTTGTCATATAAATGCTGCTATTGGCTTTGGTTCAAATTTGTAGACTTGATCAAGTTGGGGACAACTTAAACTCTTTAGGGTGCTCAATGGTGGAGTTCAATCATATTATTGTGCAGATCTTATTGAGCTTATTCTTCAAGAATTCATTGTTTAGTTTTATTTGAATTTAAAGATAGAGTTGTGCTTCAACTATATGGTAGCTTTTGTTGGAATTCTCAAATTCGAGAAATGAATTATTTGACATGATACTTAATTATTGAAAATTAACTAGTGAAGAGTCAATCTATGGTTCACATAGATAAATAAATAATCACTTTTTCATCGAATTGGATGAGTGAAATACATGAGTTAAATGGCTTAAAATTTTAAATATTAATATTATATTCATAACAAAAAAAAAAGAAAAATATTATAATACAAATGTAATAATATTTGTATGATATATAAATATAAAAATATATTTAATATTAAGTTCAATATCATAAAAAAAAATAAATAAGTATGTTGTTAAAGCATGAAATAAAAGGAGTAAAAATTAAAGAAAACTGGGACAATTAGGGTGTGTTTGTTTTGGGGATTGGATTTTATTTTCACTATTCATTCTATTTTTTTCCTCCAAAAACATCAAATCCAATATCTATTTTTTATTTTTTATATTATATTAAAAATTAATTTTACATTCAAAATATCACATCAACACCTATTTATATCACATCATACAACTATTTAAATTCAAAATTTTTACTATTCCACGTCAAAATCCAAACCCACAAACAAACACACCCTTACTTTGTTAGCAACGCAAATTAAAGTTCTAGTATTATTAAATTAGAGAAAATATTAAATTCACTAAATGAGAGAGATACAGTGAAAATGAATAGTATGTTTGTTTTGTACGAAAATTTGTGCAAAGAAATATAAAAAAAATGAATATGTGATATATATTGTTAATTTCATTTCAATTTAAAGTATCTTTTTATCATTTTTTTTTGTTCTATTTCAAAATATCATTTTTGTATTTAAAAAAAAAATAATTAAAAAAATAATTATATATTAATACTAAAATACTTTTAATTTTTATTTAAATTACAAATATATTATTGCACATACAATTATTTGACAAAAATATTAATAATTCTTTCATATTTATACTAAATAATAAAATACTATTATTTTAATATTTTTTAATTTATTGTAAAACTTCGAATGACTATTTGAAAAAATGTGTTTTTATTTGTTAAAAAAAACCCACTTGAAAAAATTGTGTATTTTTATTTTTAATCTATTATCACTCGATAAGCAAATATTTATATAATATAATATATATATTTTTTAATGGCGTATTATATAATTATATCTGACAAAATATATTCTGATGTCATCACAATAATAATTTGACTCAATTAATCAATATTTATAAATAAAATAACAAATATTAATATACGATTAATATATAGCAACACAATATATGTTATCAGCCTTGTGACTTAATACTAATTGCTTCAAGTTAATGTGTTATGCTATTTATTTTACGATGAGTTATTAATTGTTTTATATTAATTTTCTAATTTGATCAGATTATTAATTTGACCTCATCAGCCTCCTAACTATTGTCGAATATTTTTAATAATAATATTGTTCTTAAATTCATAAGAATAGTCAATTACTTAAATCTTAAAACTTTTACAAATGTTTCATAATAAAAATAAGTAACTAAAATAATTAGGTGGCTACTACAGGCTAATATACGTCCAATAATTTTTTAATTAATATTGGTAATTGATTAACTTTTTTAATTAATATTGGTAATTGATGAACTTGCATGTAAACAATTACTACTAGTTAATTTCGAGTCAAATTTAGCATTAATTAAATTAATTAGTATGTGCATTCAATTGTCTTAATTTCATTCCCGTTATTCTCTTTCTTCGTGTCGGTTTTTCATTAATCTCTTTTTAATTAGGAATGGCAATGGGTTGAGTCGGGTCCAGCCGGACTCAAGACCCGACCCAAATACACATGGTTGGATCCGAGACCCGAACTGGACCTGATTATACTCGGGCCCGACCATACCCGGACCCGACTCGAATAATACCCGACAAGACTCGATGGACCCGACAAACCCGAAATTGTTTTTTAATTTTTAAAATTTAACTTAAAATTGGACCCGAACCCGGACTCAGACCCGATATTTATTAAAATTTATATATTTTATTCAAAAATATTATAATAAAATAATATAAATAAATAAATAAACTAAAAACATACTTTTAATATAATTTATAGTATTAAAAATTAATTTTTTTTATATATATTAATAATATATTAATCGGGTCCAAGTCAGGTTCGGGTCCGGATAGGGTCTACCATTGAACCTGAGACCCGACCCGGACCCGATAAAGGTACACAATACCCGACTCGGACCCGGACCCGATGTCCGTATAATTGGATCCAATCCGAAATAAATGGGTCGGGTCCGAGTCGGTTTTCAGGTCTACCCAGACCCATTGTCATCCCTACTTTTAATTTTCGCATCATTTTCCTATTATTCTCTTTTCCCGTACCCTACAATATTAATTAATTTTCTCTATTTTTTCTTTTTGGTAATAAAAATTATCTAAATATAATGCTTTATTATTTTAGATATACTAGTAACATTTGTTTTTTACGTGTAAATTATTTTAATATTAATATTATATTGAGTTACAGTGATAAAAAAAAATATTCATATTAGCATTATGTAATATATTTTAAATTGTAAATATATTTATTATCTTAGATAAGCAGTACAATAAAAAATATATCATTATTTTTTGACATACATAAATAGAAAATGAAACTTTTTTTATGAGACGAATAAAATATAACAATTTCAATTTTTGTTTAAATAATATTTTAATGTTATATTTTGTAAAAAAATATATTTTTATTAAAAACGGAAAAAACGAATATTGTTGATTTCAAATATTAAAAAAATCAAACTCAAATTTTACTACTATAATTTTAATTATTGTACTTATTTCATCTATCAAATACTATATGTTTACTTGGAAATAAATTTTAATAAATATGATTTTATATTAATTGATTTTAAAATAAAATAAAAATATCTTATAAAATATATGAATAAGTGAATAAAATTATAACAAAATTAGGGTGTGTTCGGGGGTTTGGATTTTGAATTGGTATTTCAACAGTAAAAGTTTTGAATTTGAATAGTTGTACGATGTGAAATAAATAAGTGTTGATGTAATGTTTTAAATTTAAAATTAATTTTTAATATAATATAAAAAATAAAAGATAAATATTTAATTATATATTTAAAAAAATAGAATAAATAATATATTTAAAATCGAATAAGACACATGAAGAACATCACACGGTAGATCTCCAAGCAAAATTTGTTTTAAAAGAAATAAAAATATCTCTTGCGTATCTTTGTATAGATGCCAACAGATGCCCAATTCTTTTACTTTACATATTTATTAATATTCTATTTATTATTTTTTATATTTTGATATTTGTATATATTATATAAAATTTTATTTTTTTTTAAAATAATATAAATTTAATAAAATTTTATTTATATTTATTGATAAAAATTTTGATATAAATATGAATATAATTTTTTTTCTTAGAATAGAAGAAAGCGAATATAACAAATAAAAAATACTTTTGAAAATATTTTTATTACAATGCTTTAAAGTTTAAAAGTTAATGCTCGTCGTCATTCAAATTTATACTACTTTTCTTTTTTATTGTCATCAAATAAATAGTTTTGTTTTATTTTTAAATAAAAATTATTAAATTTTTGTATTTTATTTTACTATAAAAAAAATAACAATTATTATTCATTTTTATTAAAATTTGTATTCAATTAAATGAGCACACATTAAAGAAGGGAGTATAAATTAAAAAGTGTAAATAATTTACTATAAATTAAAAAAATTATAAATAAATACTATTTTTATTCAAATTTAAGTATTTTACTTTTTTTTTTTATGTACTAATTAAAAGTTTTATTTTATATTTTAGGCTAAGTAATTATATATTAATACAAAAATATCTTTAATTTTTATTTAAATTACAAATATATTATTACATATACAATTACTTTATATATACACTAAAATATCAAAATAAAAACAAGATCAAACCATATTTAATGACATTAAAATTTGATATAAAAAAATAAATGGAAGAGTATAATTAATTCCAACCTACCTCAATAATATTAGCTTCCAATCCCACGAACGAAAAATGAAAATAAAAATGGGAAAAAGATATTAACGAAAGAGAGGTGAGAATCTGCTCTGATATACAGAGATGTCTATATATATATATATATGTATGTCATCAATGAAGCGATAGAAGAAGACGTAAGTAAGATGGGACATTGCTTTTGCTTCTTTCCTTTTCACCCCCTCTGAAAATCCAAAATCAAAATATATGGAGAAGAGTTAGAGATAGAGAGAGAGAGAGAGAGAGAGGGAGAGAGAATGGTGGCGGTGTAGCGAAGAGGAGGAGGACCCTTCATTTCAGGCGGAGAAACCGGTGTGCTTTTGCTTCAGCAGATCCTACACAATCTCATCTCAGTTCTTCTTCGATTCGATTCGATTTATTCTTCCAAGCAATACAAAAGCTATAGCTAAAAGGTAATTTTAATTTCAATTCCCTCTGGTCTGGTCTGGTCTGCTGCAAACCTTCTTCACCTTTTTCCTTTTGTGGTTTTTGGTTTGGCCCTGCTCTCCTTTAGTGACACCTCTTCCCTTCCAAACCATCACTTCTCCTTTTCTCTCTGTCTGTCGGTTTCCTTCTTTTCTTCCTTCTCACTCCACCTTTCTCCATTCCCTCTCTCTCTCTCTAAACTAAAATTAGTTTTGTTTCTGTTTGGGTTTTCATTTGTTTGATTTTGATTTTTGATTATTTGTGTGTTTCTTGGCGAGATTGATCTTCTTTGTGGTGCCTCTGATCTATTCTTCATTTCTGCGTATTTCTGGATATGGTAATGTCGTGGGCCCTCTGATGTTCTTCTCCCCCAGTTCTTCTCTGCAGCTTCATCATTGCTCTCTCTCTCTCTCTCTCTCTCTCTCTATTTTAATTAGCAATCTCTTTGTTTTATAGTATATTTCATATCTTTTGGATGTTGATATAAGGTATCTACATTTCTTGGTAGCTGATTTGCAGATAGATAGATAAGCTCAGTTTCTTCCCTAGGGAATTAACAATGGAAGAAATCATATTTAATTCGAATAAATGAGAAGCAAATTTTCCTCACTGATTCAATTTCGAATGGAGAAAATATAACTAACAAGTCTTGATTACATCGAATGGAACAATCAATCACATACTTCATCCTTCTTAAAATTTTGCACGATTTGCAGTGAAAGTATTAGATCCATCAATGGAGGATGTCCGAAAATGGGACGAACTGATACCCGACGCCCTCGGCCTAATATTTAAGCACCTTCCTTTGCGCGACATTCTGACAGTCGTTCCCGCCGTCTGTAAATCTTGGAGGAGAACAGTTGCCGGACCTTATTGCTGGCAAGAGATAAACCTTGATGAATGGGCATGGAACTGCAACCCCGAAAAGCCCGAACTCATCGATCGAATGCTCCGACTCCTCGTCGGAAGAAGCTGTGGTTCCCTAAGGAAACTCACTGTCTCCGGTCTTACCAACGATCAAACCGTTTCGTTCGTCGCAAATCAGTAAGTATCGAATCCGGTAATCAGTCGAATTCGCGCTTTATTTAATGTTTGAGATATTTTAGATATTCAGTTTTAGTAAATTTAGATTCGGACTATATTGGCTTTTGATGAGTAATATTTTAAGAAAATTGAAAAATTGCATGATTTGATCATCAAAATTCAAAATAAGGGCTTACATATAGAACATAAAATAGATTGAACCCGATAGACTCAAATCGAAATAATAAATAAGAACAAATTTAAATTTAAATATACTAAATTTAGAACTGAATATCCGAATAGTTTCGATGTTTCGAATGTAATTCCGGCAATGCAGCTTCGATAATCAATGGTCCGAATTTGATCGGTAGAGCTTAATTTGTTAGTAGTTTTATCCGTCAATTAATGCAAGACTTGTCGTCGCAGTGCTCGATCGTTGCAAGCGCTGCGCATCCAAAGAAGCGACATTACGGATTCGACAATGGTAAATGCCGCGGGAAAGATGAGCGCGCTCACGTTTCTCGATTTGAGCTATTGCATAAACGTGGGAGCCGAGGCCCTGCGAGCGATCGGCGAGCACTGCAAGTGGCTCACGACGTTACGCCGCGTGATGCATCCGCTCAAAGTGATGGACAAGCTGTCGCAGGACGACGAGGCGGTGGCGATTGCGTCGACGATGCGGAAGCTGAAGCACCTTGAGATTGCGTACTTGCTCGTGGGCACCTCCGGGGTGGCGGATATTCTCGAGAAGTGTAAGGATTTGGAGCTGCTCGATGTGCGGGGTTGCTGGAACGTGAACTTGGACGAGAAATTTGTGAAGAGGTTCACGAAGCTGAAACTGGTCGGGCCGGACATTTGCAACAGCTGCGACGTGAACGGGCGGGACGATAATTCGGATTACTCGGCGGGGTCGTCGGGCGGGTACTTGGCGTGGGATTTTGTGGCCGGGGAGATGGACGGTGAGGATGAGGAGTTGGGGGAGATGATGGATGATTTCTGGGAAGATGATGATCCTATGGAGGATGTTGAGATGTGGTTTTACGACGCCGTTAACGCTGTCGATGCTGCTTATGATTGGCCTCATTCGCCCTAATAAGGATGTCTGGATTGTGAAGATGGTTTATATATATATATATATATATATATGTGTGTGTGTGTGTGTGTGTTCTTGTGATGTGTAAGAAAAACTGTTGTTCGATGAATGGATTGAAGTGTGTTTGTGATGGAAATATTTGTTTTGGTTGGTTGGAGTAGAAAGTTTGGGTGAAGTGAAGGTTTGGAGTGTAATTACTATATGTTATGTATTTTATTGAAATAAATTTGAGTTGTGGTTGAATATTTTGAAAAATACTTTATTAGTATCGATTAAATGTATTGTTTTTATTATTTTTGTTTGTTATATTTTAAATTATTATTATTTTTTAGTATAATAAAAATAATTATATTTTAATATTAATATACTATGAAATATGAATCGTTGTGTTTTGGCCGTCGCGAATTGCATGCTACTGAGTTTAGGTTGCTCTTCGTTCATAAAAGTATATCTATGTAAATGTGAGTTACATGACCTGTGTGTGTTGGTTTTTCATTACTGTTTTGTGTTTTGATTTTTAAAGCGAGATAAATACCATTATTTAGTTTCTTTAACTCTTTTCGATTTCCATTTTTCGATTCTATATTCTTAATAATAGTGTCAGAGCTACCCAAATTTTTTAAAGCAAAACAAAGGTTTTGTGTGTTCTTTGGTTGTTTATTTTATTTTATTTTTTTTCCGCAACGACTGCTTCCAAAATGAGTTGTCTATATACTCGAACGAGATCAAGCTGTATGTAGTTCTAATGATATAGGCTACATAGTCTAATGCAAACAATCAACCATCAAGAATAAACCTAAGTACTAAGTACCAATGCCTAAATCTAACTAAGGCACTAACAACAATCAATACTAGCCTATCACAAATCAAATATCACAAGTCCCAATTATCACAAGTCTCAATCAACCAAGTAAGTAAAAGAAACCAAGGATAAGATGTGATTACATATAATCCAACAAGTGATGATTTACTAATATTATATGCTGATTATGAGGGAATCGGTCGAGATGAATGTAGTGAATCAAAATCACTGTAGTATGGAAAAAAAATGATGACAGAGAAAATAGTGGTGTTGCAGAATGACCAAATCTAGGGTCATCGAGATGTCGCGAAACACGTACCATACCGGGTGAGACAGAACATCCATCGACTGAATTTTTTCAGAGCTTGTCTCGGAAGGAGTTTCTACAAGATACATAAGATACTCCTAGTTGCAAATGGAATGCGTACACAAAAAATAATGCTGATTTCTGGGATGATATTCAGTGATAAAAAGCAAATGCAAATTGCTATAAAGGATTACTCGGTGTGAGTGGCCGGTAGAGAATATACAGTGACAAAGATCACCCGTACAATTTTTAGGGTAAAGTGTAAGCATTATGGAAAAACTTATTGCAAGTGGGGTGTGATTGCATCATATAAGTCACACTTGGAACGTTGACAAGTTATTACGATGATGACTTTCACGAGTGCATATACGAATTACTCGTTGAATTTGAGGACATGGAGATTCAACAATATTACATTCAATAGGTGAGTTATCAAGTACACGTCCTTGAGATTGCACATGGTGGCATTCCAAAAGTGGTGATGGTTGTAAATGATCAAAATTAACCATATTACCTTGAGGTGTACTACTGTTTTCGTGCACACCACTACTTTCACCAGTCTCATATGCGTTAATAGAATTACTGTAAATATAAGGATCTGGACTTAAGTGGACTTAATCATCATTTGTGAATATAGTTTCATATGACAAAAATGTCCAATGTGCTCGATCTTGTGAAACGTCAATAATGTTTTGGACTAGACTAACTTCAATATCTGGGTAATGTCTAAATTGATAAACCTACAATATATATATATATAATTTTTTCAAAATGCAATAATTATATTGCATTAAATAAAGAAAAAATTTACCGTAAAATGATTGTAAGATGGTAGCCTAGATGGATAGCCAATTCGTGAACGCAATTTAGGATTATAAATAAAGTGAAAAGTGTGTGTTTTAGGACGCTGACGCTTGACTAATGCTGTAAGAAAACCAGGATCGTGCTTAACATATCCAATTCTATATACCCCATAAAATCCAATTCGATGCAATATTTCAAGAACTCTAGGATGATATAATGATGATATATTAGTCCAATATCTGTCGGGACAAACAACTAAACTTATGATCAATCAACTTACCATTCCAAATACGTTCAGAACGATGTGTCGATTGAAGATGAAACAATCGGTCGTTAGCAGCTCCGGACAATCCATCTCGATATGAAAAGATAATCTGAAAATAATATAATTGAACTAAAAATAATAACAATACACAAATATATTATCCTTATAAAGAGCATAATATTTATGCAGAAAATCGAGAGCCTTTGATGTAAGAGGCTTTAACTGTAGATTCCTAAACAAGTTCAACTAAATATAATATATGGTAGTTCTTAATATCAACTACATATTTTAGCATGATGACATTACACAAAAAAAAATCAGATATTAAATAGAAAAACAATTAATCTGTTGGTATTATCTTCCAGCTACCAATTTATAGAAGGATGAGTGCATGCATGCCAGAAGAAATATTACCAATATTCTAAGAGCATGAGACAACCTAGAGAATAATGAAAAGTCATAAAATGAAGAACATTGAAATTATCATGGAAGAACCTAACCTAATAATTAATTAGGTAAGGACTCTAAGATTTGAAACTCATTAATTCATGGGTATATGAGTTCAAAATAAGCTTATATTCAAGTTATTAAGGCTTGACAATAAATATTTCAGTCATAACTATCTTTAAAACTGCAAAATTATTAAAGGCAATTATTGAATATTACCAGCAAGTTGCACTCGAATAATATTAGAAACTAATCCTACAATGTTAGAATTTTAAATCTTCTATAAAAATTCAAATGATATAGCAGAATACAGAATAAACTAATCAATAAAAATGTATATAAAATACAAACAAAGATTTGTATCTTTTTAACAGTATATCCACTGCCCACCACCGTATTTATAAATAAAATGACACCAACAGCGTAGAAACTAGAACCCTAATACAAAATTAATCAAAATCAAATAAATTACCTCAAATATTCCAGGAATGGAAAGAAGGAAAGAAAAAAGAGAGGAATAAGGGATCGACGCCCTAGGTCTATGGCGGTGGAATTACATAAATTTTAGGAACAGCGGCGGCGGTGTTCGGGCTGGGCTTGGACGCGTGGCTGTCGATGGCTGAGCACGGCGGTCGATGGCGGTGATGAGGCAGCGACCTAGTGAAAAAAAAAAAAAAAATTGCGAGATCACTTCATCGGTACAAAAAAATGGAAAAATGAGGAATTATGGTAGAATTTTTTTAATTTAAATTCTTATTAAAATAAATAAGGAGTTATCGTAACCCTGAATTCCTCGTGTTACGTACGAAATTTAGAATTAGGTTAAAAGCCCAAGGTAAAAAGAATAGTGGGCCTGGCAATAGAGTTGATTGAACTGACTGAAGGGCACCATGAGGAAATCAAGGAAAATAGGTTTATTACTAAGGAAAGTCTTCAGGTCGGTAGGTCCTCAAGACGGAAGGTCATCAGGACGGAAGGACCTCAGGTCGGTAGGTCCTCAAGACGGAAGGACCTCAGGTCAGAAGGTCTTCAGGTCGGGAGGTCCTCAAGGCGGAAAGACCTCAGGTCGGAAGGTTTTCAGGTCGGGAGGTCCTCAAGACGGAAAGACCTCAAGTCGGAAGGTTTTTAGGTCGGGAAGTCCTCAAGACGGAAAGACCTCAAGTCGGAAGGTTTTCAGGTCGGGAAGTCCTCAAGGCGGAAAGACCTCAAGTCGGAAGGTTTTTAGGTCGGGAGATGTCCTCAAGACGGAAAGATCTCAAGTCGGGAGGATTGGCAGTCGGACCCATACTATTGTAGATTGGCAGTCGGGCCAAAAGAGCGGAAGGTTTGTGGTCGGCTCAAAGAGTGAAATATAAGGATAATTTTGGTCTGCTGAGGACGCGTGTCAGCGTGAGAAGGGTTGGAAGACGGTTTGGAAGGAGACGTTGTAACCGTTCGGGTGACGGTTTTCGGTACGGTTTCCCAGAGAATATTTAAAGGCTTGGATAATCATTTGGCAAGGCATCTTCAATCAACTTCAACAAAGCAAAGTCAGATTTGGGGATCACCACTTTAAATTTCAGTCTTTTATTTTCCAGTTTATTTTCTGTACCATACAGTGTTTAGAGATTCCTAATCTCAGGCACTAATTAATCAAGTTTAAGGATATTTTCTATATCTTTGAATTTTACTTTATTTTTGTTGAAAAAATACATCAACAAATTGGCGACCACAGTGGGAGCAAGGCAAAATTGCTCATTCCAATTCCGGCGATAATTACATACGTCTAAGATCCGGCCGTATTATCGGAAGGGTCCATATGGCAGGTTCACAACCTCAATCATCGTCGGCACCGGTGGGAGAATCCGTTCCACCACCTAATGTGCCAAATGCCGGGGAAATCCCACAACCACCAACAGATTGGTGGTCTTATGTTCAACAAATGTTGCGTGAGCAACAAACGAACATGTTGCGTGAGCAACAGAGTATGATGCAGACCATGATAGATCAAGCACTGTCTAGGGTTAGTCTTCAACCCACTCAAACTCCACCAGGAGTATCACCGTCTAGACTACAGACAAATTTCGCAGGGCCATCATTCGTGGATAGTGCATTTCCAAGTGCCACAAATCCCAACCGAATGGATAGGGGAAAGTCTCCTCTAACTTTTCCAAACACTGTTCCACTGGGACCAAGGGTTACCAATCCGCAGACGAACAATATAAGGGAGGACAGGCCTGAAGGATATATACATGATCCTATTCATATTCCTGTGCAGGATCCGTTCCATGTTCCTGATCATCAACGCTTTCATGTAGATCCTGATGAGCTTGCACATATATTAAGGGATCAGTATGGATTAACTCCTCAGATGGCTAACCGCCCTGCATATCAGAAACCTTTCCCAGAAAGGGTCATTAATGAGCACCCTCTCCCAAGGAATTATCGACCACCCGATTTTCATGCATTCTCAGGGGAGGACGGATCTTCCACCATAGAACATGTTGGTCGGTTCACAGCACAATTGGGAGAAGTTGGTAATAACCCTTTTTATAAGTTGCAACTGTTTGGCTTATCTCTTACTAGAACCGCGTTTTCGTGGTTTGCAAGTCTGCCTCCTGGACAAATTCAGACGTGGGAA